CTGAATAAGTGTCCGAGTGTTTAAACCCTAATGCATGAGAAATGGCAAGTAAACACCATAATTACATATCTGCCATCATGCAAGATGGTCTGAATAATTGTCCGAGTGTTTAAACCCTAATGCAAAAGAAATGGCAAGTAAACAGCATAATTACATATCTCCCATCATGCAAGAGGATCCGAATAAGTGTCCGAGTATTTAAAGCCTAATGCAATAGAAATGGCAAGTAAACACCATAATTACATATCCGCCATCATGCAAGAGGGTCGGAATAAGTGTCCGAGTGTTTAAACCCTAATGCAAAAGAAATGGTGAGTAAACACCATAATTACATATCTGCCATCATGCGAGGGGGTCCGAATAAGTGTCCGAGTATTTAAACCCTAATGCATGAGAAATGGCAAAGAAACAAGATAATTTCATATGTGCCGTCATGCAAGAGGGTCCGAGTAAGTGTCCGAGTATTTAAACCCTAATGCATGAGAAATGGCAAATAAACAACATAATTACATATCCGCCATCATGCAAGCGGTTCCGAATAAGTGACTGAGTGTTTAAACACTAATGCCTGAGAAATGGCAAATAAACACCGTAATTACATATCTACCATCATGCCAGAGGGTCCGAATAAGTGTCCGAGTGCTTAAACGCTAATGCATGAGAAATGGAAAATAAACACCATAATTACATATCTGCCATCATGCAAAAGGGACCGAATAAGTGTTCGAGTGTTTAAACCCTAATGCATGAGAAATGGCAAGTAAACACCGTAATTACATATCTGCCATCATGCAAGATGGTCTGAATAATTGTCCGAGTGTTTAAACCCTAATGCAAAAGAAATGGCAACTAAACACCATAATTACATATCTACCATCATGCAAGAGGGTCTAAATACCTGTCTGAGTGTTTAAACCCTAATGCATGAGAAATGGTAGATAAACAGTATAGTTACATATCTGCCATCACGCAGGAGGGTCTGAATATGTGTCCGAGTGTTTAAACCCTAATGCATGAGAAATGGCAAATAAACACCATAATTACATATCTGCGATCATGCAAGAGGGTCCGAATAAGTGTCCGAGGGTTTAAGCCCTAATGCATGAGAAATGGCAAATAAACACCATAATTACTTATCTGCCATCATCCAAGCGGGTCCGAATAAGTGTCTGAGTGTTTAAACCCTAAGGCATGAGAAATGGAAAATAAACACCATAATTACATGTCTGCCATCATGCAAGAGGGTACAAATAAGTGTCCGAGTGTTTAAACCATAGTGCATGAGAAATGGCAAGTAAACACCGTAATTACATATTTGCCATCAGGCAAAATGGTCTGAATAATTGTCCGAGTGTTTAAACCGTAATGCATGAGAAATGGCAAATAAACACCATAATTACATCTCTGCCATCATGCAAGATGGTCTGAATAAGTGTCCGAGTGCTTAACCCTAATGCATGAGAAATGG